TCGGAATTGGGTCGTTTTCAATATGGAGATCGACAAACTCTGTCTATTTAATTGGATATAAACAACTTATGAACACCCATTTACTTACCTTCATCCCCAACATGTCAAAATAACGAAGTTTTACAAGGCGAACGGGCCAATATTTTTGTAGGCCACCTTTTTGTCGATTTTACGATTCAAGAGGAAAGCAAACGGGTATTTATTAGTTTTTAGTACCTAAGTAAATCAATTATTTTAATGAGAAAACATCCAGTTCTGAGAATTTTCATAGATAAAAAATTTGTAGGCTACGATAACATGAAGTCATTCACGAAGTTTTAAGCCGATGGTAATAATTTGATAAAAAGGGGTCTGTACCACGGACTATAACAACGGCATAAACAATATGTTCGAGTGTTAAAAGTAAATTGTTTATAATAATAATACAATATAACGTTTAATAAGTCATAAAAATTACTACATAATCCAATATCACTGTGTCAAATATGTGATAAATGTCTTAAAAATAAATAAAAATCATAAAAAATCAAATCAAAATATAGATGAAATCACTAAATTAATTTTGAACATACTCACTTAATGTTTTTATTGAAATAATTAAAATTTATTAGTAGTCATTAGATTGAAAGGGCCTCAATATTTAGTTACAGCAAACTGCAAATATTTTCGATAGTAGGAAGTTGTAAATAATATATAATCCTTGGTAAATGATTGAGTTGATGGATTATAACTTCAAATGGGGACAATAAATCAGCTCCCCCCCCCTCACCCCTCTCTCGCTCAACTAAAACCAAGACAGACTGAGTGTCCATTACCAACCAAACAATTAATACACGTTAGGCAACTTAAGGCCAAGTTTGATGTTGATTAATGGAATTTACTAACATCCATGTCAATTCTTAATATCTTATGAGTTGGATAGAACTAGTTTAACAGGGCCGTTTAGCAGGTCGTCAATAGAAAGCAGTTGAAGCAATTAATCAAATACTTTACGAATTTATCATACTAGGCTTAGTTCTTTAATACTCTTTATTATATTAATTAAAAGTTTTATTAAAGTAAAAATAAAATGTACATTCAAGTATAGACATATTTTCGTTTATATCGTTCACAAGATTTACCTGTTTTACTAATTGTAAAACAAAAATTGTAAATTGTAAATTTCAGTTAATATTGTCTGATTGTCTGGCTAAGATTAATCACTATAGTATATTACAGAATAATTCATGATACATGAGTAATTAGTAATTGTATTTGGAAAGTATGTAAAACATTAATCATATACTCCTTTAAGGAATCAAGTATATACATTACACCCTCAGTCGCTGATTTCGGACGGGACAAATAATGCACCTTATTTTCATATATTCAACGATAAATTATCGAAGTATCAAGTCACTAGTTAGGTGCCCATATGTTATTTTATTGCTTGCATATGTTATTTTATTGCTTGATGTTATAATATTGGAATAATTTTTGACAAATTCTAGTATTTAAAGATATTAAGAAATTTTATATATATTTTAATTTATTAGGAATCATCCATAAAGACCTTAATGTTCCCTATGTTTCCGATCTGGCCCAATCCAGATACCTTTCCTTCCATAACAAACTGCAGAACCATCCGAATCCTCTCGTTTCAAACCTTGCTTCCTCCTCGATCCCTGATAACCCTCCGAGGCGTCTGAAAAGAAGATGGCCTCGGGATCTTCTAATATAGAACTTTAATTTGAGTTCTACCAATGGGTAGTTTCTCTTCATGTTGTACATGCCATGTTACAAATTTCTCATTTACTTATTGTATTCTCTATGTAATACAGTTGTAAATTCCATTAAAATAATAAAAAAAAAAAAAATTAGGATGTAATTATTTATTTTATGTAAGAATAAAAGCAATAATTTTTGTATGTTAAAATTATTCCTATTTTAGAATTATTATTAACAATATTAAAAAGAAAAATCTAGATAAGACACAATATAATTGCTCGCCAATTGACTGTTAATCTATTAATACTGTGGCCTCAAGTAGAATAAGGTTGGGGACTCCAGCTCTAGGCTATAAGACATATCCTAATCCTATCGCCGTTAGTACTTCCTAGCCACCTTTCTGTACCAAATCATTAGAACCCATCGACCCTCCTATATTTTTCACAGCTTACAATTCAAATATTCCATCCAATCCCGTCCCACCAGATCTCGTACTTCCGACCTCTATTCTCCTCCTCACCGAACTGCTGCGTTTGACAAATCCTTTGTAATACAAGCCGCCTCCCTCTGGAATTCCATCCCAGCTGATATTCGACACGCTCAATCAGTTTCCTCGTTTAAACCTCTCCTCTTTAAGCACCTACTCCTTTCTCAATCCGAATGATTGTGAAATATATCTAAGAGAAACATCTGAGCACCACCAGAAACTACCTCAATTAATTAAGGTTATTTTAGTTTCTCATACATATGTACAATTTACTTATTCTTTTCTTTCTCTTTCTGTATTTTTATCGTAAGCCAACTTTCATTGTAAATATACAATTTAATTGTAGCCACACAGACATATAATCTGTATTCATATTTTGTTCTTAAGGGACAACAGTCCCAGAATAATAAAATATTTTTTTCATTTCATTTCATTTTCATTTTCATTTCATTCATCCTACTTTATCATTTAACAACACAACGTTTATTACTGTTGACTACATTCGGTATCAATTATTTAAAATTTTGATCAGCTTGTTTCTTGGAATATTATATTACATAGTCCGTAGTACAAACCTCTTTCCATTAAATTATTAACATCCGCTTAAAACTTCGTGAATCGCTTCATCTTATCATAATCTAAATATTTTTTATCTACGAAAATTCTCAGAAATGAGGAGAGCGGGGTTAACAAAACATAATTATCCATTCCCTTTCCACTTTAATCGTAAGATACTTAGATCACAAAATTGAGGAGGGTGGTTGGCCAAGCGGGCTAACGCGTGTGTACAACACCGCCCGTTGCATTGCAAAATAATTACTAATATCGGTGCCCGGTGACTGAACTTTTAACTGAGCATACTTCTCTCGCCCTCTCCTCCGGCCCGCGGGAAAAACCAAAAAACCTAAAAGGCAAGGAAGGGGAGAACAAAACAGAAAAAAAATGTATCACTAAAAACATCGCAAAATAGAAAAGGAAAGGTTATCTAAAAATTAGGCCGTTTGGCCTATATAATCTCTTTATTTTGACATATTAGGGTGCAGGTCACACCAAACAGTCCAAAATTTTTGTAAGCAAACCTTTTTTCTCGATTATGTGATAAAATTTCACGATTCAAATGGAAAGCTTCTGGATGTTCATTAGCTAAATATATAAAGTTTACCGATCTCCAGATTGAAAACGCTCCAATTTCGAAAATTTTCATCAATAAAAAGTTGGTAATTTTCGATGAGATAAAGCTATTCACGAATTTTTAGGCGGATATTTTAATTTGATAAAATGGGTTCTGTACCGCTGACTAATAGGACTGAAGCTAAAATAAACTACCCATCATTTTAGAATTCAACATTAATAATAATAAAAGGTGTAGCAAGCCCAATTGATGCTGATATTATAAGATTAGTGTCTGTCAGATTTCTAAATTTTTTAAACCAATTCATAAAACTTCTTATTAATTGAGCAAATCCTTTTAACTGATCAATCTTGTATAGAAGTACCAGTGTCTTAAATTCATTCCATTATTGTCAAATCAATTCTGTATCCAATTCTTGAATTTTGAAATCATCAACAATGTGTTTTGAGTCAGAAATAAAGTTATCTGAGATGAATGGAAGGTTGTAAATGCTGTTGGTTTGGTTTTAAACATCTAATTTATCTACTCTCTATTATTGCTGTGTTTTCGAATCCCGATAATCCCACAAGGAGTCTAAAATAATGGTATAAGTCCGAGCATATACGCTACGATATACCTGTCAGACAAACCTGCACTCGTATACCGGAAAGGTATACTTGTGCAGGCTAGACGCTATGGTAAACCAGAATATTTTAACTGAATCGAGAGGTGGCGAGCAAACAACAACAACAAAGAGAAGACGACGCGATCGCTTTATTTAATTAAAAACTAAACAGTTAAAGGAAGTTAGTCGACTGTTCTACAATCATGATTGATAAATATTTAGGACGCAGTCATCATAAAGTTTTTATCAGTGCCGACGTTTCAACCCATGTGGATCATCATCGGGGCGTGGTTCGAGCACTGAAGGTACTCAAGTACTGGAGTACATGTTTCAGTTGAAATGTCGGTACTAATAACAAATTTATAATGACTACGTCCTGAATGTTTATCACAAAAAAAAAACTGTACAGGTATACCGGATTGCTTTACACATCAGTTAGAATTATATATATTTATGTAAAATACTTTTTTTTTTTTAAATATTTTTATTGAAATTTACAACTGTAAACATATATACAACCAGTAAATTTGCTATAGGAATATATTACATTAAGGTACTTGTGAAGAAGCTACCCATTGGTAACACTTCAAAGATAAATTAATTTAGGAGGTCCCTTGGCCATCTTCATTTCAGACTCCTCGGTGGGTGGTCAGGAATTGTGTTGGATGAAAGGTTACAAACTAGAGGATTGTGGTGTCCAAAAAGTTTGCAATGAAAAGATGTATATCTAGTTCGGACCAAGTCTTCCACAAGAGGAATGTTGAGATGTAGAATACTAAATTTCGGTTCTTCTACGGTCGCCTGCACAGGTCGCTAAGCCGATGTAGTTTGGCCTGCAGCGGCAGGTACACACACTCCGGTTTACCATTAAATGTTTCCTTTCGTTATACGGGAAAGCGTTTGCCCGGCCAAGAATCTGCTAATATACAATTGTCATAATATAAAATATACAACTAGTTTCTTCTCAAGTACTTACAATATCCTAAGCATGCATTTTAGTTTTGAAGAAAATCAAAATCTATCGCAAAAGCAAGGTCCTCAGATATGATGTGTTGCAGGCGGGGTGCGAGATGTGCGTGCGGTCGTGCAGCAGCGGGCTGGCGGTGGCGGTGGGCCTGGTATCGCTGACCGCGCTGGTCACCGGCTTTGTCTCCAACGTGTGGCTCTACACCAGGGAGCCCGTGGCCCTCCCCAACAACCAGCCCCCGACCACCGTCACCTTCAGGATCGGCTTCTGGAGGGTCTGTCCCGCCCTCAACAAGACCAACTACACAGTCCGTGAGTAATCATCAATAATAGTAGTTATATAGAGTATTTTATTATATACATACATATATATATATATATATATATATATATATATATACATACATACATATATATATATATTATATACAGAGTATTTTATTATATACATACATATATATATATATATATATACATACATACATATATATATATATATATATATATATATATATATATATATATATATATATATATATATATATGAGAATTTATCTATATATAGATTATAAACGCTAAGTTATATTAATGTGAATCAGGCTTTTGGAAGAGCAGTGTTAAAGTATGCTCCAACAATGAACAATTAGATATTTCAAAAAGTCTTCAGTTTTAACTAAAGTTTGCAGGAACTATTGGGAAAGACTATTCCTACAAGTGGGTCTACGTATAGCTGCCTATAGGTTGCCACTTCCTAAACTGCAAGTGTGAGTATTCATTTCATGGCAACTAACGATATTACCAGACATAGGGGAAAAAATCAGAGTCACGCCTTTCCCAAGAGAACACTGTCTAATCCTCAAAAGACCAGTGGTCTGAGAGCGTGCAAAAACTCCGATTTTCAAAATGTTAAGGTAATTAAAATTTCCTTAATTTTTAATGTGAGACATAGTTTTTTTTTTCTGTTCTTCCCTACCTCGCCTTTTAGGCTATACGGGATTTTCCCGGGCCGGGGGGTGAGGGCGGGGAATTTAAAATCCCCTCCGGCACCGGGACGCGAACTCGTACTTTTTCAATCTTCTCAAATCTGTAATCCGGTTGCCAGGCAACTCGCGGTGCTGTGCACACGCTTAGGCTATTCGGCCACCCCGCTCCCTATGTGAGACATAGTTTACTCACATACGTCAAAAGTTAAGGAAACTAATAAAATAAAGGTTTTCAAGATTTTTAATAAAGCATAAATAAAAAGCTATAAGGCTCTAATAATAATAATAATAAGGCTCCCTGTGCCGGCCTTAGGGCAATCGCTCCGGGGCACCGATCTGGAGGGACACCTGTTGGTGGCGCCGACCGATCTTAAGAGGCGCTAGCCACTTGTTAAAATTAAAAAAAACATATACAAACTTATTAAAATAATTAACTTTAGCTTATCAAAAAATTATTAAAGAGACTGTATTAGAGAAATATTTAATGAAATGAAATTGAAATATTAAATAATATAAACAAGCTTAAGAAATAAATTTAATTTTTTTAGGGAGAGGAAATATGACGTCATCGTCCGAGGGCGCCAAATATCAAAGGCCGGCTTTTCCCCTCAAAACTAATTTTACAACTTGGTATAAATCATTAAATATATTTTTGTTTTGTTGATTAGTTCCGAAAATAATTTTTTGAAATGAGTCAAATGAATTTTTTACGGTATTTCTTAATAAATTTTAAAATTTCGTAATTTTAATGGATAAGTCGTTATTCAACAGGTACTAGAATTTCGTATTTCAATAGAATAAATACCTTGCGCCAACGACCGCCAAGATGTTACTGTAATAAAAATGTTCTTTAAACCATGTTCTAATAACGAATACAAAAATCAGCAGCGATATCTTGCGGTTTTGATAATTACCTGAAAAAATCAGTTAAGAAAGCTACCTGAAGAATGAGCAAGGTAAACTGGATGGAAAGTGTAGATACAAATAAACTGAAAGAAAATGCGAAGAACAGATTCAAGAGAAATTCAAAAAAAGGTTCTGATTCAATATTGATATTAGAATATTATTTTCAGCCCATAAGCATTTATTTTATTTTATCATTATTTACTTGTAGGCCAATTTGCACTACTTCTCTTATCACAGTTTTCTTACATTTCTCATATTATTATTTATATCCCCTTGATAGTAATGGAGGTAATAGATATTTACAATTGATTCTTTAAATAACCTTATATAATACTTTTTCATTTTTACAATTTATTACAGTAAAATATTATTTATATATTGGTAAAAAATAAAAATAATACTCTAGTAATAATGACAATAATAAACGGTTGTTCTTATCAAAATGGTTTTGTTTATGTAAATTCTGGAGGCCTTAGAACATTCCGGTTTTCAGATATATCCCCTAAATTAAAAGTTTGTCATTTTTTCGACCATCATGCGATGCACTCGGCTATAAGTGTATGTTTATTGTATCAATCAATTATTTGTAATCAAGTATTCCATGCTTAAATAATCATTTTCTATCATTTGTTAGCTATGTAGTGTGTGTATATTGAATGTTCCAATATATTTATATAATAATGAAATAGTGCATTATAAAGTATTCAATTACTATCCATTCTACATTACCAATGTTGATTCTCCTTCCAAATGGTAAATAATAGGGAACAGATATATTTATATTTCATTTTATTTATTACTCTCTGGCAAACATTTCTTTGAAACTTCTTATACGTGTTATACGATATATATTATCGTTTATTTATTGTTTTTATATTTTGAGGATATTACATATTGTTAGTTGACAAAAAAAAAAAAAGGAAGAACAAATGGAATGAATGAATTATAAAATGTAGTAAAAGATTTGATGGATTTCGTGGTAAGAAAGCTTGATATCATTGAATCGGAAATATATCTAATTAGGCCAACATGAAGTCTTTTTTAAATTAAAATAATTTATCCTTCAATTTTTATTTTTACCACTCAGAACTTATTACACTGTATGTCGAGATATGTCCTAGCGAACTTATTTTGTTTTATTTGTAGAGTGCCAAAATTCAAATTCCTTAATGGACCTTTCAGTAGAAATTGTGTTCAAATATTGGTTTTATTGTTATATTATATTTCAACTAGAGACATTGTTTGGAAATTTTATATTTAAACATCAAAAAAAAATTATCAAAATATGTGTCTTCAAAATTCATTAATTAGTTTTCTATTTTCTTATTACTATCAGAAAATAAATATATAGATATGGGAAATTTGAATGTAATTTTACATGTAATCCAGTCCTTTAAATTATTAGGTAGTTTTAAATGTTAATCTGTACGTACGTATTGTGTTTTTAACATTCTGTCAGATAGACAAGGGTTATAGTGAGGTAGGACTACATTCACACTATTGTATAGAAAAGTAAAATAACCACTAAATAATCATAAAAATATATATAGAATAAATGATAGGTAAATTATAAAAAACAACACAGATATACTTTTTACTACACACTATTTAAAATCAGTCAATAGAACTCCAAGCAAGGCTTCTCCCTCCATATATAAAGAGAAAAGCAGAACTGTAGGAGATCCCTGCACTACTCTCTCAACCGCCTCACATGTGCTAAATACAGGTGCTTCAGTCACATGATTTAATTTTTAAATGAAATTGGATGGATGGATGGATTTTTCCCGAACAAAAATTGGAAAAAAGTTTCAATAAATTCTGAATTTTATTTTCAAACAAATAAAAAATAATAACTTTTTGGTGGACCATGTTTATTCAAAAGCCACAAAATTTCCCTAAAACCATACAATTTGGTGTAGAGAGTTATAATTATAAATGTTTATCGAAAGCGACACTGCAAAAAATTGAAAGTAGAAAAAAAAAAATTATTCATAAGACAAAGTATACTGCATATATATGAACTAAATTTAGCTTTACATTTTTACTGCATGCTTAAGACCAAAAAAGTAATTTTTCAGGTAACGTTTTAGGTTTGTATTTCAGAATATGATGCCTAAATTGAGCAAAATAGCTCGAACCCTTACTTTCTAATAAAATTATACGTACAAGCTTTTGCAGTATGACTGTCAACATGTTCTATTGCAAAGACGTTCTATATTGTTTTGGCTTTTGAATAATTGAAGAAACATTCACATCTACAGAAGTAATTTAAATTATTATTTAAAGAATAAGATAATAACCCATTTCTCTCAAAATCTCATGTACAACATTTCGGACTATACTTGGACAGAAAACGCACCTGGAACATACACAACAAATTAAAAAAAACAAAACAAGAACTGACGAGACGATACAAACAATCGACACATCTCATAGTAAACAGATCACCACTCAACTTACAAAACAATTTATTAATCTACAACGTTCTACTAAGACTTATCTGGACCCACGGAGCAGAACTTGAGTTGATAGCGCATGAATTTAAACCGCACAGTCCACAATTACTTCGAAAAATAGTATATTCACCGTTTATTTCAAATCAACATCACAACATCATGAGCATACCAACGGTAAAATCCTACATACAAACAAATACACAACATTCCAATCTTCAACTATTAATCATCCAAATTCACTTTTCCTCTCTCTTTCTTCTTCATAGTTGGCTGGTGAGTCTCAAAGTAGGCAAAAAAGGCAGTGATCTAGAGATCTGCTCACAATAATAAATAATTATCTAGAAATAAGAAGACAGAACAAAGATTTTGCTTGATGCATTGCAACGTAGTTGCTAATAAAATATACAATAAAATAATAAGTTAGTTGTCAATATTAATTATCATAAATTAATTAAATATATTACTAAGCAAACTAAAATTAACGAACATTATTTATATTAAATGTTTTCCCGAAATGGCAGAGAGATTGGTGTCATATGCCACACAAATTTGAGATAATTATACGACAATAATAAACCATTGCGTCATAATTTGCAGCATTTTAACTAACCTTCTATTAATCATACTAAACTTGATTAAATTTCCCAATAACCCACTTAATTGGCGTATTTATGAACGATAAATGTGTATTTTCCGGTCCATTCATTCATATTTTTTTTTCGTCTCAAATGACCGGCTGCCAAAATTTCCTACTAAATTTATCTCGGACATTTACTGGGTGGGATGGTGACCTAGGGTCAGAAGAACATTACGTCAAAAGCAGATGGATTAATCCCAGCATTGCTAACGACAGTCGGCTTAGTGCCATTCGCCATTTGGCTCTCATCCAGTTTGAGTCTGTTGTTCATCTTGCAAAAAGAACATCTTTTCCAATTTTTTTTTCACATGTGTAGGATTAGTTCTGTATGTAATTCG